AACAGATTGCTTCATCTTAGAAAAGATTTTTCGGTCTCTTTGCTGGGGATGATGGGAGTTGAGGCCCAACTCATCCAGAGGACATTAGGTTGGGGAAGACTCTCATGCTGGCTGGGGAATAGTAGGAGTTGAAATCCACACATCGTAAAGTTCCCAAGGTTGAAAAACATTGCTGTAGTAAATGACACGTACAGAGGTTCTAGTAATGGGCTGGGGTGGGGTTTGGGAGCCAACGATCTCTTTGCCAGATTTTACAAAAGACCTTGGACTGAAACATTGCTTTGGGGACAGCGATGGGCAGAGATATGAGTGGGTGCAACCCTGACCCATATTACCCTCATTTTGGGACATCCATGTTTCCCTGGAAGGTGGCAGGGAGCGAGCTTTCTGCAAGAATGACTTGTAAATCCCTTGTATAGCACACACTATCTCAGGTAGAAAGGTCATTGCTTATGGGAAGGGCGTGTGTGTGTACAAACAGACACACAATGCCTGCCTGGGCTGATGTCAGGAGGTAAGCAGAGCACACGTGCTTGGCGCTTGTAGACAAACACACAACCCTGTTTTCTCCCTTTGTTTTGCTTTCTTGCCTGTTTCAAGCTCAGCCTCTGATGTTGCAACCGTTGTGGGTGTGCATCTGTGTTCCTTCGCTAGCAGGGACTTTGCTGAAACAAGCCGTTCCAGGAAACGGAGCTGTTCCACCGAGAAGAGTTTGTTCATAAAGTCCTGTGACTAGACGGACGGAGTCTTCTTATCTAGGGCTGGGGCTGTTTGTGTCTGCCTGAGTACAAGCTGCACGCCAGTCCCTTCTTTGTGTGATCCTGGGCAACACCCAACCAACAAAAGCCTGAAGCCACCCTCCCCCAAACAGAGTGCAAAACCTAAACTGAACTGGATAGGATTGATTTTGAAATGAAACGTAGGGCATCCCATTTCGTCTCTCCTTTGATCTCCAGAGTCCACTGGAGTGGGAGGCTAAAAAAAATGTAAATAAATGAGTTAAAAGTGACAATTCAGGGTTCCACTTTTGAAAAACTGGTGGGAGCTTCGAATTGTGTAGTTAGCTCAACCTATCAGGCTGGGCTTCAGCTTAACAGATGATCTCAAGCTAGACCAGTGTTTTTCAACCTTGGCCACTTTAAGAGGTGTGGACTTCAACTCCCAGAATTC